ATAAAAATAAATAAATAAATATATATATATATATATATATATATATATATATATATTCACACAGTGCCCTCCAAAAGTTTGGAAACGCCCTAGACAAAGGACAATATCAATAAAATCCTTATAATTTTTTTACTTAAATGCATTAAAGTGACTTGCAATTATTGTCGAAGACCAGCAATAATTCTGTTTTGATTACAAAATAATGGCTATATAGCCGTCACAGTCAGATGTGGCAGTTGTAAAGATTATTGGGTCAGAACATTTTCATAGTTTTACGAGTGTATGACAATTATTCATGATTTCCAAATAGCTCTACTATTTTTATATTAAAATTCAGTTAAAATATGTTTTTATAGTTTGTGCTTTGCTAATGAGTGGCAAAAAAGTAGAGATTTTTTTAAAAGGCAAAAGGATCAGGATGGGACCTCAAGCTGTCACTGAAACTCAGTAGCTGCCCACAAGGCTATGACAAAACAATCTTTGACAAACATTGGCAAATGTAGTGACTACTTCGTCTACAGAAACCCTAATTTTATCATTGTGCATTCAAAAAAAAAAAAAAATTCTTACCTTTCTTACTTCCAGACAATGTTTAAAGCCAACCAATTCAGCTTTTAAATGCATCATGCATGTGGGAGGTAGGGGTGTGCAATATTTATCGTCTAATATCATAATTGTTGTTTTAACGAAATGTGAGCTGACATTATCGAGTATGTTACGCACTCTGCAAAAACAAACAAACAAAAACACATCTTGAAAGTCCAAAAGCATTCACTGTGTGATGCAGTCTATTAGAGCGCAGTAAAAATGCTCCTATTATTCAAGTTAGGAGTGCAAAATATATCCCTTATTTATATTCATAAGATATGATATAAAATCAAGCAAGCAAGAGTGCTGTTTTCATAAATATTAGCCCGTGAGCGCGATCACTGAAGTGGCTATTAACTTTATACAACAGTTCACAAAAAAAAAAAAAAAAAAAACACTACACTCAGGAAAAAAAAAAAAAATGAAAATAATTCCAAACAAAGCCAAAGCAGAACATTTGTGCATCTCAGAGCAACACTGCATCGTTTAGTTCCTGAATGGATCTGTTTTTTTAACGAATCATTTGAGTCGGTGATTCAAAAATCCATTCATAAAGACAGCCACTTGCTTAATTTCTAAATTAATTTTGAACAAATAGTTTGAATTAATGATTCAATGAATCACTTACTAATAATTCATTATGGGACTTGCCGCCACCTACAGTTTTAATGTCATGTTTATTTATCCATGATAGGCCTAAACCAGCCAGTACAAAAACACACTAAGCAAAATATTGTTTAATTATCATTATCAAAAAATCACAAAAAAATATTGAGATATCATTTTTTTGTCAATACTGCACACCTCTATGGGAGCCCCTTAGAGGGCATCTGTCAAGGATTTGTAAATGTAGCTCCATGCTGCATTAGCTGCACCTCCAAGACCAGCACCAAGACCAGCACCAAACGCAGCTCCCACTGCCATACCTTCATATCCTACTGCAAATCCCAGAAGTGCACCTACAAACGCTCCTTTTCCCACTGCAACAGCATAATCGACAATTCTAACTGTGAAGCCAAGCTTGTCTGCAACAATCAGCTCTGCTTTCTCTCTGCACTCCAGCTGTATCTTTTCTTCATACTTCAGAATCTCTCTGGCAAGTGCTTCTCCTGAATGTTGGTTCTCCAGCGCCTTCAACATCTCCTTAGATTTTTTGATGAAACGCTCCTCTATCTGAATTATTTTTTCAGCATCTTTAAATTCCACGTTTGAAAACATTCCATGCTCCGAGACATCTCATCCACGTTGGTGAGCAATGTTTGTGTCTGGCTACCGTCTGTCTGGTTAACTTCTTCATTAAAGAAGATGTAGTTCTAGCCACAATTCTCAGCAAGCTCTCTAAAGCTCTTATTCTTTTCATGTCTCTCTTATAGTATAAAACAATTAATTTGTGCTTCAAAACACGTTCCCCAAAGTAGTGTACCATAGGCTTCAGAATGTCCATAGTGTCAGAGGTCAAGTGAAATGGGTCTACAACAAACACCACAGCATGAGGACTTGGACATGAAAAACAAACCGCCTTCCTGAGCTCCTTATGAAGTATACTGTCCGGCATGTCATTTTCCTGAAGATATGGTGTGTTGACTAGGGTTATGGTTTTCTCCTGCACAACCCCTGAACTTTTTCTTGGTAGCTGAAATATTGACTTCATCTCATGGCAAAGGCGTCTGGCCCCATCACAGACCGCGTCAGTGACAGTGGTGTACAGTAACGGAGTAGTTTTACTTCGTTACTGTACTTAAGTACATTTTTCAAGTATCTGTACTTTACTCGAGTAGTTTTATCTTGAGTAAATTTTACTTCACTACATTCCAAATCATAAGATCGTACTTTTTACTTCACTACATTTCATAAAACATATCGTTACTCTTTATAATACATCACGTGCTCCGAGACATGAACGAACTGATTCTTTTCAATTAACCTTTTAAATCGGTTCGTAAATCGCACCAAACGATTCACTCACGAATTAGAATGATCCGATTGCAGCTGTTCTCGAGTCGACAACTCACTGATTCAAATGAACCGTTTAGTGCGAGTCTCCAGTGAACTGAATTCACAAGTAAGAATCGGGAGATCTTGTGAGCGTGCGCACGTCTGATGCTGCTAAAAGTAAGTTACCAATGTCGAATTTTAGGATTAATTATTGTAACTGAAAATCATATTTAGGTCAAAACTGTCAGTTGTTTGTGAACTAAATCTGCAGTAAAGGGTGATCTATTTAAGCCCACTGAAATGTTTGAATGCAGACACATCAACATCAGTGTCTCTATGTTTTAGGTAAAAAAATACTTTTACTGGAGTAATATTTTATTATACGTATCTGTACTTTTACTGAAGTAGTTGATTTGTGTACTTCGTTCACCACTGGTCAGTGAGATCTGATCACGACTTGATTTGCCGAAGACCACCATCCTCAGTGGTGTTTCTCTGCACACTGTGAGATGAAATTAGATTATCTTTCATTGTTAATCATGTTAACCGTAATTGCTCAAATGTTCTGGTTTGTTTGTCAACTCACTGTTAGGTGGACTGTCTAAGCTTGCTCTTCTCTGTATTTTCCCTTTGACTGATGCCATCTTAAGAATAACACTGACAGCAGTTGAAGAATTCAGGATATGCTATCCTATTAAAGAAAAATACATTTTCAGAAACAAATAACATTTATATATAGATAAAATACCTGAACTGAACTGAAATAAAATATTAAAAAGGTAATTATATAAATATATTAAAAAACTAAGACTAATAAAAATGACAAAACAAAACAGAACACAGAAAAATAAAAATAAAAACTAATTCAAAATATTAATAAAAACTATAATAGTACCTTCTTTTAGGTTTAGCAGAACAAAGTCATATGTTTGGAACGACATGAGGCAAGGCATGGCAAGGCAAGTTTATTTATGTAGCACATTTCATACACAATGGTAATTCAAAGTGCTTTACATAAAAGGAAAAAAAAAATCACAACAATCAAACAAGGAAATTAAAAACTTTAAAAATAAACTAATGAGGGTGAGTAAATGATGACAGAATTTTCATGTTACGTTTTATGCTTACTGTACCATTAAAACAATACAGAACGTAAAAGTACCAAATAAACCATTCCAAAGCATGTACACTATTAATATTAACTAAATATAGTAATTTTATTTAAAAATAATAATAAATAAATATTTGCCATGCAGTGTAATCAATGATTCACTCACTGAAACCTTCACTCTGAAGGCCAAACCAGCAGCATCCCACTAAAAAATAATGCAGCAAATGTTAAGCACACAGATTTAATTTTATTATGTAGTATTTCACAGTACTTGTGTACTACCTACTTTACATAAATTGTGTAATAAATCAGAAATGAAATATTATACAAATAAATCACTCTCTAATAGGCTATGCTAAATCTAGCATATGAGACCAAATTTTGGTCTATGTATGTTAAGTGGAAAATAAGAAGGTAAGAATAAGCAAAAATTATAAGTAATCATTACAATATAGAACCTGAAAAGAGCATAAGGTTGTAGTTTTTTAGGACACCTATAGTGTAAATTACGTTTGCAGGTTAGTAAATGGCAACAAACAAAACGCTCCAGCAACATCACTTCCTAAAGCAGGATCCCTCTTTCTGACGTGATTGCTTTCTGACATTTGATTGGTTTGGACCGCTTGTCTTTCTCAACTGCTTTCGTTTTAATAGTATGTATTTTCAAGTCAAAAGCGCTTTTCAAAAGTTTTATTTTTGAAAATCCGGGTCACTATTCCTGCGGCCATGGGTTCAATAATAATTTAGCATTGACTGTCCTTAATGCAGTTGCTAAGGCAAAAGTGTATTCATGAAAACGACATTCTGTCACGACGTGCACTAAAAAGTGCAGCATTTGCATTAATTCATTCGCAACCAATATCCATAACAATTATTTACTAATCCATGTTTTATCGAATTATAACAGTCACTGAGTGAACTTTTGAATTTGCATGATGGACGCTTTCTCAAATAGCCTATTTTCTCAACACATAACAATACTCAAATACATTATAGATGTGTACATAGCCTAACTATTTCCTGTGGTTTTCACCAAAGTACAGGTTGAT